GTTTATCACACTGTTTTGAACAATGGTGTGATGTGTACAGCCTCCTGAAGTGAGACAATACTGAAAGAATCATCTTAGAGGTGTGTTTCCCACTTAAGAGTCTGGTGGGGCAGAGACTGACTTTCCTCAAGTCCTCAGACTGAGGTATACCCCGACAGGTTTCACTCAAGATCCGTCCTCTCCCCCAGAGAAGGGCCCTACCCCTGAGCTGAGCAGCTGTGAAAGGTGGTTCAGTTAACAGCATGCCTTCAGGCACATGAGTCACACAGATTCCCAAGAGAGGAGACCAAAACACCTGCACACGCTATGGGAAGGCTGACTCTTGGTGTCATTAAATAAAATCTATTAACTCAAAAGCCTGTTTGCCAGGTTTCTGGATTCCCAAAGTACAGTGGGACGATCTGAACAAAGACGTCTCTTTCCTTGGCTTGGGCTACATGAATGCTGATTATTTTGCTGGAGGGGTGTGGGCTGAAGTTCAAAACAGTGAGCTAGAGTTTTAACTCAACTGCCTCCCAGCTGAAATGAACAAAAGAAGTTAGGACTAGACAAAAATCAGTCTGGAGAAGCCCAGCAGGAAAGTGCTTTCATCCTAAACTTCCTGAAGGAAGTGTCAAGTGAGCCTGGACAGGAAATCACTTTCTCTGTCCCTCAATTTCCCTCTCTATAAAAGGAACTGCTTCTGCTACCTACACACCCAGGAGCAAATGCATATAACACCGACAGTGTGGTAAGAGGGAGGTTATAAATTCAGAAGTCATTTTTTTCTGTTGGGTCTGAATTTAGGTGAGTTTGGTTACTGGGATCCCCAGATGCCTCTCAGTCAACATCATGAACAAGAGCAAGCTCAAGTGGGATCACAGCAACACCCTTCCCTACCCTATTGCTGTCTTAATAGGTAGGTCACCAAGCCAAGAATCAGCAACCCGTAGGGTAGGTACACAAGGTCAAGCAAGCAGAGGGCTTGGGCTGGACTTGTCCAGCACCTACTGCATGCCAGGCACTGAGCTTGCATTATCTCACTTAACCCTGAAAAGCCAGCTTTACCATATCCATTTTGTAGATGGGAAAACTGAGGCTAAGTGAGATGAATGACTTGTCTGAGACAGAAGCTAGACTCCAAAACTTGGGCTCTGCCACAGAGACACCATCCCATGGCAAGTTCCAAGGTGTGACAGAAGCAGGCTATTGCTGTTCTTCTCAGCCCCAAGCCCCATCCCC